GGTACATGCATACATGCACGCATGCACGCACTGCCACGCGTACACGCACTGACACATACGCACTGGTACATGCATACATGCACGCATGCACGCACTGCCACGCGTACACGCACGGACACATGCACGCATGCACGCATGCACGCACTGCCAGGCGTACACGCACGGACACATGCACGCATGCGCGCATGCACGCACTGCCAGGCGTACACGCACTGACACATGCACGCATGCGCGCATGCTGACATCGCGCACTCCAGCATCATAGTCTAGGCTCTGGGGGGGGGGTGTTCATGTACACGACTCTTTTAGAGCAATACCTTATATTTTCTCAATCCTTATGGTAAGACTCAAAAAAAGTGGGTAACACCTTTTGGTCAAGTACGTTTTTTCTGTACAACCCATTATGTGATTTTCGGTTAGGCGCCAAAGTGAAAAAATGACAATATTGAAGTTTCAGAGCATAATTCTTTATTAAGCAACCATAAACTTTCAAATTGCACTTAATTACATTGAATAATTATTAATACTAACAACTTTCCAGCGTGATTTGTTGCCATAAACATTGTTTCATGGTACGAAATGGCTCCATTTTTCTCAATTTTAGCCAAAAAATAGCCAAAAATCGCGGTCACTTTGAAAGTAGCTCTAGGCATGATTGCTTCTCACTCGCCCAATATTGTAGCTAAAGGTGCCAGAATTGGCCAAAGGTTTCCTTATTAAGTGCTCTAAGTGACCCAAGCTTCATAATGAGGCCCCCGGGCTCTATATGATGCAAAGGGGGCTGTTGTAACTCAAGGTCAACCCTACCCCCAAATAGCAGCCTTTTGCGAATTATGTCAAATGATGATTACTAATACTCCTTAAGTAAGTGACCTAAGAAGTTGATTTTTGTGGCTACATATGAGTTTTTGACACCAAGGAATTGATTGACACCATTATTACACATTTTGGAATTCACCTAATTAGAGGAAGTATAAGATGTCTGCCAAAAGCGAAATTAAGACATGAATTGTCCCATAGAAAGATGATTGAAGGATTGACGGACGGACGGGCGGACGGACGGACGAACGAACGGACGGACGAACGGGCGGACGGACGAACAGACGGACGGACGCACGGACGGATGCGCGCGTGCGTGTGCATCACACATAAAGCACGCACGCACGCATGCAAACATAGGCGCACGCGCACACTCACACCCACACGCACGCGCATGCACGCACGAACGTACGCACGCACATAAACGCACACACGCACACATGGGCGCGCGCACGCACGCACGCACATACACACGTACGTGCACGCACACCAACGCACACATGGGCGCGTGCGCACGCACGCACGCACACGCAGACAGGCACAGCGTTTGAGGAATTTATGATCAACATGTAAACAGACACGTTCGCCAAGCTGTCTTAAAGTGATTACGTCACCGTAAATAGTAAAAATTAAAAAAACATTTCCACTTTTTCACAAAATATAAGTAATTCTGTTCCCTTTTTATGGTTAAATTGCTGCATTAAACTTCCTATTTTACTATATTGTTCGATGTGAACATACACTCGTGACTCATACATAGCCCATAGCCCCCCCAATTAATGTCAGGTGGGTAATTTTACAAATTTTACGATAGAAAATTCGTGACGTAGTCAATTTAATAGGCGAGTCCTGCTAACCGCGCTACAGTGAAAGATTAGGCATTGAGAAATTACCGAACACTCCTACCTAGCCGGCTTCACTCGCTAAACTACTTCACTGTCAACTTGTCGCTGTCAACAGCTGCCGGCGAGAAGCGTATATAGCATACACGCACACACATATGCACACACACATTCACACGCACACTTTGTCTGCCTGTCTCTTTAGTCTCTCGCTCTCGTTTTCCCTCTACCACTCTCGCATCCATCTCAATCCCTCACTTCATATCCACTTTCGTCCTCTGTTTCTCCATCTTCCGCCCTCACCTCCCTCATCCTCTCCCCTTTATTTCGCCTTCTTCCCGTCTCCCCCTTCCCTCCCCTCTATTCTCTATCCACTTTTCTCCCGTCAGCATTCCATTTTCACTCTATTTCTTCCGCTCTTTTCCTTCCCCCCTCCACCGCCCTCCCCGCTCTCAATTTTCTTCGCCTCTCGCCCTTTCTCTCGCCTCCCTCAACCTCTCTCGCAAACGTTGTGCTTCCGTGACCTGCTGCAAGACATTAGGGTTGATCATGGCATACGCACACATACACGCACATACACACACATACACACGCACACGCATATATACACACACACACACACGCACACACACACACACACACACGTAAACACACATACACATACACACACACACACCACACACACGCGCGCGCGCACGCACGAACGCACGCACGCACACACAAGCAGTGATCAGTGGCAACGAGGCACCGCACGCCAACTGCATTATTTTCTCCTCAGTTGATTCGCCCATTGCGCTCGCTAGAATGAAATGGTAATAGCACTAAAGTGTAGCGAAGCCAAGTGGATGAGAGATAAATGGACTCGCGCACCGCTTGCCTGATGGAGATGTGACCCTGCTTCCATTACTGGAGCACGCAATAGCAACTGTAATCCTCAAATCTCACAATCGCAGCCAGAGAGCACAAAGCTTTCCCAGACCCGACGTCTCTTCACCACGCCCCCCGGCTGCAAAACATCCGACCATGCATGAGGCACGCGTTCGGCTATCGTCACGAGAAAAAGAAGATTTTTCCACTCGCCAAAAGCAGTAAGCCATCGCAAAGAGTATTTTAACGAAAAGATGTTCGTGTTTTGAACACGCAAGAAACCAACGGATGGAAAAAAATTGTATTTTGTCGGACGAGTTCATGACAACAAGAGACGCACCTGGCAGCTGCTGTGTAGATATGTGGGTGAGGTAGGGAAGTGCATCGTGTGGGGGCAGGGTTTTTACTACATTCGTAGTTTAGAAAGGTGAGTAATGTAATGCTGTCTCAGTAGTCGGATGGCTGCATAGGCCTGAATACACACGACTGCCATAGTCGACTGTCGATGTCTAAACCGCTTTACTTCTGTCCATCATTTATAGTAAGAAGCTTCGGGTGAATATCAACGTTCCTATGAAATCTGAGCTGAAGGTTGAACAAGAACAGACTCACAAACACATAGAGGAGGATAGGAAATTGCTCATTCAGGTGAACAGAAAGCGCGTGGACAGATGCGCGGTTACTTTTACGTGATGTCTGTGTACTTTTGCTGTCATGCAACAAAAGCAGACGTTTACCCTTATCTTTATAATACAATACTAAACCCCTCGCTGATGTCACTCCGCCTCATAGCCCTCCACATGCTTCTGTTTTCAAAGTTCGTAACAACTTGGCATCCTGTTTGTGGCACTTGTGCTTATATCTTATATCTTATATACCTGTCTTGTATCTTATATGCCTGAATGGTCTCCCACCCTGCTCTGTCTCCTGCAGTAGCTTTGGCATGTTAAACCCTACGTAACGAATCGCTGTTTTGTGCTCTCAGGCTGCCATCGTTCGGATCATGAAGATGCGTAAAGTCCTGAAGCATCAGCAGCTTCTTGGAGAGGTGTTGACGCAGCTGTCATCTCGCTTTAAGCCTCGTGTGCCTGTGATCAAGGTGAGTGAAGCCATTGTGGCTTTCCTGTGCTACTCTGCGTGAGGTCAAACCCTCACCACCCGAAAACGGACTAGCTGTGGCATACTTCACAAATCTACAATGTTATTAATTGGTAGGATAACGACGTTCGCGATATACTGTTAAGTTTGTTCGTTGGTACTAGCAGGAGGCATCGTGATGATGTTTAATTGTGTATCTATTACACAACTCATTGTGAGTATGCTGGACTAGAATGATGGGCTGGAGTATTTAGGAGGTAGGAGTGTATATGAAAGACTGGAATATTGTTTTAGAGAGAAGCTGTTGGAGCTGTATTGAACTGTTGAAAGGAACCTTCTGTTGCATCTTCTAACCATTGTCTGTCTGCTGCGAGCTGAACAGGCTGTCATGCTTGTACCGCCGAGTTTCGACATGTCCGTAATGTGCCCTGCGTGTTCATCTCTTTCAGAAATGTATCGACATCTTGATAGAGAAGGAGTATTTGGAGAGAGTTGATGGCCAGAAGGACACCTACAGTTACCTGGCTTAGCTCAGCCTTATCCTGGCTCTTGCAACACACTCTGCCTGCCTTGTACAGCCAACTCCTGCGCCTTTTGATGTATACTGACGAGCAAATGAGGATGCTGCAAGTATTTGGGACATAGTCTGCATTGATTTTTCGCATCCGCGGTCTCCGGACCTTGACATGGAAAGTTATCTCTGAATCTCGAACAAAGGCCATCGGCTGCGCTCGTTTTTTGCGTCCCTTTATGTAGACGTGTAGGTGTGTCAGACAATGCGGCATCTTTTTATCAATTTTGTTCTGAGCGAGTTTTAATGTTCACCCTTGAAAGAAATTAGCATGCCATGTATAATGGTGCGTAGCATCATAGCGTGGTGCAGGGGAGGTGGGAGGGGGGGAAGCACCTCTAATGCCGAGTGTGTGCTACTGTGAGTTGTATTGTTGTTGAAGAAAGCACTTTTCAACGTGTTTGGTGACCAGTCTCAACTTTTCCTTAAATCTTGATGAATTCATTGCTTTTTGATTTTGATGAAACATATTTTCACTGTTAGCAAAATGACTGCACGTCATTCTCAGATTGATTTGCTTATTAGCAGAAGTTTTACAGACATCATCGGCCCTTCTCCGCTGCCATCGTTCCTGGCCGCCCTTCCCCATGTTTTTCCTCGTGTCATTGCTTCCCATAGCAAACCCTACACTGATGCTATTGCAGTTTGCTTTTCTACAAGATAAGGCTGTATCATCGGTACATGTGTTAAAACAGTGCAGTGCAGGCGAGCGAACGAGACCTCAGTCTAAGTAACGTCAGATTTAACGCCAATGGGTTGTGCCCGCGTGGCTGAATAAGGCAAGGCTAGTGATGCTACATGCATTTGTTCATTACAGGAGTTGAAATGCAGTAGGCGCGCGGTGGCATCTTGCTTAGAAAAGGGCCAGTTCATAACAGCGGCACTCCGGACGCGCGGTTGTGGGGTAGGCCGATGGCGTGCTTTTTTTGTATTATTTATTTGTATGAAGGACCGACGTGAAAATTCTCTTGCTGTCAAATCGGGGGGGCTGACACTGCCGCGCACTAACGCGCTGCATTGACCTTTTAATTGGCACTGGTTGTACTGCTACTTGTGGTCCTAGTGGGAAAGTATGTGCTGTGTTTTTAATTCGACGACGAAGGGTTCCGGTTTCGTCACGCACGTCGATCGCAAGGCACTCTGTGATTGTACTTGGTGACGACGTATGCGGTGCTGGACTGCAGTGCCCTCCTGTCAACATGCCAACTTCAATGGCTGAAGCAAAGTGACTGGCTCGTGCGAAATTCTCTAAGACGAATTTTACTGCGCCATAAAATCATGTACCTCCGTGAATTAAGTGAGCTTGTGCACCCGGCGGAGTGAGTAGGCACTCGTGCAATAACCGAATTTTCGACGAGTGGCTTACTATTTCTATTGTTGCTGCTACTGCTGCTTCCGCTGCCAAAATAGCTGGCAATGCAGTGCCGTGTAGTTCGGGCAGTAACACAAAAAAAGTACAAAATATTGTAATATAAACATGCTTGCACAATGTCAGGGAGTGGTGTAAGACAGTGCCAGAGTGCAGTGCGACCGTGGCAAAAACCACCGGTAGTTCGTGATTTATCAGACTGGAGTTGGCCGGTTGTGAGGGTCAGACCCGCGCAGTGTTAACGTGCGTTCCTCCCCCCACGATATTGCAATTGGATTTCAACCGTGTTTGACAATGCGAGGTTGTCGGTAATTTGCTACTAGCACCGGCGCGGTGTGACTACGAGTTGTCGTACCCGCTTGTGTCACGAACGACCAGGAGTACGTCGCACCTTGTCACCTCTTGCTTGCAGCCTACCTTGGCAGGCAGCTATCAGCTGCACCTAGCTCAGCCACGAGGGGACTGGACGGAAGGTTGTAGCACTGGTGTTTGCGCCAGCGTGCTTACTTGGTGTAACCCTGTGTGGCAAGGTCATCTAGGCGAGCTCGCCTTTTGTTAAAAACAGCATCCCAGGAAGAGCAACGCACTCGTGCCGAGCAGGGTACTCAAAGTAGCTATCAAGCACTCGGCGCAAAACTCCCACTTTTGAAGTTCTAAGCTTATATATATATATAGTCATTACAATTAATAATATAACAATTTGTTAGGTGACAGTCGGTTTCTTAAGAAGACACTTGTACAGAAACGTAGAAGTATTAAATATCTATTATTACGTTTTAGTGTTGGAATATTAATCACTTGTTTCCATCTTTTATGCAATTGAATTAATGCAATCTTTGCATTCTGTGTGTAACTCTCTCACGAAAATGCAAGTACAATTTGAAGAATATGGAAAGATATCTTTTACATTTAGAGTAAAATATGTTTATTTCGTACATATACAAAAATAATTGGGATTGGCCAGAGCTAGCCAGCTGTGGCACAAATATTCAATTGGATTTCACAGCCATAATATCTGATATGTTGATCTATCAAGAAGTTAAGGCACAGAGCATCCACATTGCATAAACCAACTAGCCGCTTAATGCTTAAAAATTGCTTAATGAACATATTAACAAGTGCTGCGGAGCGACAGCGCTCATCTAACGTCTACTGCAGTGACTCTGTGGTGGAGTGGTGGGATTCTAGTAAACCCTGTTAGTCTACACGTACACGTACACGTACACACACATGTACAAGCACACGCACACGCACACGCACACGCACACGCACACGCACACGCACACGCACACACGTACACGCATACGTACGCGTACGCACACGCACACGCACACGTACACATACACGCACACGCACACGCACACGCACACGCACACGCACACGTACACGCACATGCACGTACAGGCACACACACGTAAAGTTAAAGTTAATGCTATTGCTAAGATAGCACTTACCACTAATGTAAATGTTACAAGAATAGCGTTGACAGAAACGCATCGCAGCTATGAGAAAACTTGCGATAACAGGAACTTCCCATTTTGATGTCACAAGGCTGCTGATTGGATGAGAATCGATCACAAAACTCAAATGCATACACATTTATCGTACGTAACATCACAGCAATTTATGCATATTATGATGGATAACCATATATTAATAATATCTGATGAAAAAACAACCCGGTCAGTATTCACAATGATAACGCTAGCGCCGCGAACGACATGCATCCCCCCCTCTCTCTTTCTCTCCCCCTCTCTTTTTCTCTCCCTCCTCTTCTCTCCCCCTCTCTCTTTCTCTCCCTCCTCGTCTCTTCTGCCGTTGCTGCTGCACTTGTTGTTGTTGTTGTTGTTGTTGTTGCTGTTGTTGTTGTTGTTGTTGTTGTTGTTGTTGTTGCTGTTGTTGTTGTTGTTGTTGTTGTTGTTGTTGTTGCTGCTGCTGCTGACTTTGATGTTATTGCTGCCGTTGTTGCTGCTGCTGTTATCGCTGATAGTGTTGCTGCTATCGCCATGGCTGCTGCTGCCGCCGATACTGCGGTATTCCGTTAAATTCCCGCGCACGTACGCAGCAGCCGACGGAACGACGCTGACGACGACGACGCCGAAGCTGATCGCTTTCCCGACACGTTATCAGTCGACAGCCGACGTCGTCGGCGCGTGTACCCGCGTGTGCCAGTCGTCGTAATTCAAAGACAACGACAAGAACACGCGTGAGCTGGCACGCGGCAGTCGGTGAAATGTCACACGGGGCATTATTGTGGATCTGTTCGGCACGCGACTGCTGCGCGCGTACACGAGCCTATTGAATCCTGAAGCCATCCCTCAATCTATCTAAGTATATATATTTCTCTTTAGCACTCCCTATCTCTTTAGCTCCATGTCTTGTCCGTCGTACGCCCGTCCGTCCGTCCGTCAACATTTGGCTACGGTCAACGATAACTTGAGAACCGTTTGACCCACATGTTTCAAATTGCATACAGTTGTTACTCCTATTGGAGAGATTTGAACGTCCTATTTTGGAGCACGCCAGTCGACTTACTTTCGAGCCACGCCCACGTTTTGGCACAAATGGAAATGGCCATAAATCAGTTCAGGTTCAACGGATTTTGCTCATTTTTGGTATGTGAATGAATAAGGACTTGCCCTAAAACACACGAGTTTTGATCTTTTTTTTAAATTATGCAAATTAGGTAGATTAGGTCAACCTACTTTTGAGTCATTCTAAACTGTGTGTTTGCTGCAGTTTTTTTGGGGGGTAGCGAGATGCGAGATTCGAGAAGATAATGGTGGTTGCGTACTACCCACTCGTACCTTTGACCAAAATAACAGAAAAATGTCAATCTAACTTGTTAACAACTCTACAATACGTGTAATATTGTGTTATAGATTCTTTGTTACAGTAATTTGACTGGAATATTTTATTGTTTTTCTTTGCGCGATAATCGAAAACCAAAATGGCGATCATTTAGGCGTAGCGCCATCTCTCGCCCAGATTTCAGACTTTCAGATCTGAAGGGTTTATTTTCGCATAAAAAATTACGCATATATAATTATCAAGAGTATATAATGGGAGATATCGTATATAATGGTGAGCTATAGTGTCATTGACACTTTAATTTGTGATTGGCAGCTGGAGAGGAGTGTGCAACGATTCACAGTGTTCTATAACCAGCAGCACAACGGGCGCAAGTTGAACTGGCTCTACCAGATGTCCAAGGGCGAGCTCGTCACCAACTGTTTCAAGAACAGATATACCCTGCAGGTAAGATTGTGCTGCAGCCACGCCGTGCGGCATCTGGGCATGAAGTTCCCAAGTTTGAGAATTAATGCAGTACGGTTTTTTTCATTTCGTAAGCCAACGGATCACATAAAAATCTGAAAAGTCCATACAGATTTGAATCGATTTACTGGGATCTAGATGCACTTGTGTGTTAAGAATAGTTTTGTGCAATTATGACATACTATACGCTCATTTCCTGGGAAGTGTACATGTTGTATGGTGCTTATCAGTTTGAATTTTAGGATAAATATTATGCGCTGCATAAGCAGTGACTTGTCTGCTCCCAGTATGCAATAAATCTGGGGTGGAGGAGTGGCATTTCGTCCACACATGCAGCTCTACTCGGATTTTGCCGGGAGAGGGTGCATGTGCTGTCACACTGTCACTAACACTGTGTGGCTTGTCTTGCAGGCATCGACGTTTCAGATGGCCATTCTACTGCAGTACAACCACGTTGACTCGTTTACCACCCAGCAACTGCAGGAAACGACGCAGATAAAATTGGTGCGTGCGTCTATTCGATTTCGACCATACGCGTTTTCGATTTAATTCCGAGTCTGAAACTGGAAGCCAGTCGAACAACTTATTTGTAGTTCATTGTTTGGATCGGTGTCGTTAAAGTGTAATTCTGTTCACTTTTTATGGTTAAATTGCTGCATTATACTTCTTATTTTACTATATTGTTTGATGTGAACATACACTCGTGACTCATACATAGCTCATAGCAAGCAATTAATGTTAGGAACACTAATATCAAATCGTCCAGGTTTTTTGGATTTTTAACTAGTTGAGAAACAATCTTATCCTGGTAAGAATTTTACGATACGTTTAGTCCCGTTAGTTCTTACTTTTAATGTAAAAAAATGGCGACAAAAATTTTACACATTTTACCATAGAAAATTCGTGACGTAGTCAATTTAATGAGTTTCCGCTTTGTGTTTTTAGGACATGCTCGTACAGGTCCTTGGCATTCTGCTGAAGTCGAAACTGCTAATCTGTGATGACAATCAGGATGAAGAGACAGAGCTTCAGCCTTCCTCGAACATCTCGCTGTACACAGCGTACAAGAAGTAAGCCGTGCAATCGCAAGGGGCGTCGTGTGAGGACAGGGCTGTAGATACATGGGTAGGGGGAGGAAGTAAGGTTTGTGAGGGCAGGCGTGTAGATATGTGGGTAGGGTAGGGTAGGAAGTAAGATTTGTGAGGGCAGGCATGTAGATATGTGGGTAGGGTAGGGTAGGAAGTAAGATTTGTGAGGGCAGGCGTGTAGATATGTGGGTAGGGTAGGGTAGGAAGTAAGATTTGTGAGGGCAGGCTAAACACTCCCGACCCTTAGTACACGCTAAATCCGCTTGGAACGCCACGAGAGCGCCATGGTTAGCGCCGACTTTGAGTCGTACAGTGTGCGGGGGCCTCCTGATCGATCGGGAGCGGGTCGTATAGTGTGCGAGGGCTTACGACTGCGGCCCGCGCAAAATCGTATAGTGTGCGGCTAGCATAAGGTACCTGACTATTTAGTACTAATTCATATTCAATCATGATAATTCTCTGTATTACTAGCACCGCCCATATCGCTGGCAGTTGGCTATACATATTTCTAACTGATTTTAGGTTGGTAGTAGAAAGTAAACAGTACTACCTAAAATTTATTTGTAAGCGTATCTGTTGTAATTAATAAATTCAGTCGTTTGTTCTTGATCTGTTTAACACATTTATTTCCGATGCAGAAATTTAGTGATTTATACGTGTAACGCCAGTAGTAAGATTTGAGATTATTTTTCAGTGGATTTCAGCATCATGGTGCTTAGTTCGGGAGCCTGGCCGTTTCAACAGTCCACACCATTTTCACTACCTAAAGAGGTGAGTGCGAGACACGGTGGTTAGCCGCTGGCAAGCTTGTTAACTAGCCGACGTGCAAAAACACTCAGAGTCAGAGCTGTAAATTTACAGCACAGTGTGTTATGGCTGAGGAATTAAATATTCCATGCCCCCTAATTGGTATTGGAGAATAACTCTCTCTCTCTCTCTCTCTCTCTCTCTCTCTCTCTCTCTCTCTCTCTCTCTCTCTCTGTCTCTCCGTCGCTCTCTCTCTCTCTCTCTCTCTCAGCTGCTATAAGTAAGCTAAGAGACGTAATGACTGAGCGGGTGTGGACGAGTATTACTGTCAGACGCCTAGCGCGCTCGAGACAAATAACATGCGTGCGTCAAATTAGCCGGCGAGCTAGCGGCCGAGATCGAATTTAAACTTCCACGCCGAGAGTTAGCCGCTATCACGATAATTGGTCAGCTCTTAAAGAATTTATGACGAGATTCTTGCTCAGAAACGCTCAGTCCGAAAAGAAATACACTGAAATATGTCTCACCTCACAGCGGACATATCACGGATTACACAACTTGAAAAACACTAAGATCTCATGCAGTTATAGCGTAGAAAATTGGATATGAACACGTCGTAACACCGTGGGATTTTGTCGTGTAGCGAGAATGGCGACCTATGGGTAAACTTTAAATTGTCGGTGCACTCAACTGCAAACAAAAGGGCATCTGAGATTCTGTGGTCTATAACACTGTTCTGTGTCTTACGTGTAATATATGGTGTAGTTGATTCCGTTCATCTTTTGAAATTGGCCGATAGCTGGCGCTAGTAGCTGGCTCCAAGTCCAACAAATGGCGGCGGTAATCAAAACGAGTATAAATCGAAATTCGAATCGTGCATGTTTTGGTGAATACGAAGGTTCTAGTACAATTTATCGTTACTCTAGACAGTTGCTGTTACTCAAGGAACTAGACAGAGGGCACTCACGGAAAGTGCATACCTCCGCGAGCGTGTAACATGTATGTGTATAACAGCTGGCTCGCTGGTGGCTGCTGCTGACTGGACGCCCTACGGCGAGCTGCTGCTGACTGGACGCCCTAAGGCGAGCTGCTGCTGACTGGACGCCCTAAGGCGAGCTGCTGCTGAATCGATCGCGCGAACACTAGTGGCTACACACACACACGAAGGCGAGCTGCTGCTGAATCGATCGCGCGAACACTAGTCGCTACACACACACACGAACACACACACGCGAGCGATTGCATGACCTCCGTTTGCGCGGAGGTAATAACGGTAACTGTCATACACGTGGGGAAAACACGAGATTATGTTCGAAATCAAAACTTTAACGACGGGGTCCGGGAAGGTTTTATTACCGGTGTGGACCCACCTTTCCTCCACCACCCACCGAGCAGTGGCGTAGCCAGGATTTTTTAACAGAGGGGCAAAGACAGCAAAATAGTGGATTTTAATTATTCCTCCGTCTTCCTCTCCACACCCTACGCTCCCCCACGTCTCAGCTCTGCTATCTTTGTTTTGGGCGCCATGCAAAAATATTGAAAAATGCAAATTTTGAAAATGTTGATCGCATATGATGGTATTTGAGGCACTTTTGAGTACATGTACAGCCTTCATTCTGACTACGACAATTCTCTTCTTAGTAGAATAATTCTTATTTATTTATTTTTTTACCCTTCGGATCAACAGGGAGGGGGCATGGCCCCCTTTGCCCCCCCCTAACTACGATACTGCCACCGAGTACAGCTGGCATATTCTCCCCTTCTATCTTTCTTCTGCCTTTAGATTTCTCTCGGGCGCGTTTATCGCTCACGGTTTCTCTACCTCTTTCTCTATTTTTCTCTCGCTTACGCGCGCGTTGGCTCTCCTTGTTTCTCTCGAGATGTCTCGCTGTGGCTTCTCGCTATCTCTCGCACACCTCTTCCCTCCTCCTCCTCCTCCTCCTCCTCCTCCTCCTCTCTCTCTCTCTCTCTC